GTGAATTTCAAGGAAGGTCAGGCCTCTGCTATATCATATTCTTTTGGTGGGAGTGCCGATGAAGCAAACGTAGTGTGAATACATCTCATTACACTGATTTACTGGTAGTCTCGAAACCCTACTTTCATACGAATATCTAACAGTAGTTAGTAGTATTCATTATACTACTTATATTGCGCTGTCACTATTTCTATTCTCCCGAATTGTCAGTTTTCATTTGTTTCATAAATGTATCATCCTGACCGTATGTCCGGTGAATTTGTTTGCTCAATTGTGATAATTATTGAGTTAACCTATCCCCAATTTCTCAAAGTTGCGAAGTAATACCCCCATTGGATGCCAGGTTGTGACACCAGCAAGTCAAGAAGGGTAGGTAGGGTTCAGTAAGGTTTGTAGGTAGGGTTCAGAGGCCACCGTTAAACCATATATCTGAGATGTTCTCACCATATTCCGTTTAACGTGATGAAGGATTATAGTTGAATTTTCTCACTATGTTATGAGTAGACCGTGGGTTCCCATTACATTTCGCATGATTTTGCTTTCTATTACGTATTCTTATCCCGACCACAGTGAACTGCAGTTCCAACCTCTCATTATTCTCTCAAGCGGAACTCTAACGTTCGTAGTGCAGCGTATAATATAAACACGTTAACCACTACGCCACATTCCCGCGAGTGCCCCTATATATATATATATATATATATCCCATTTTGTGGTGGGATTGTCAGTGAATTAATTGTATTATTGCTATAGTAAACTACTACATTACTTATATTTCGCTTGTAAGTAGGGTTTCGAGACTACCATTAAATCAGGAATATGATATATGTATGATATATAAGTATATTAGTACCCGACTTTCCTAGTCTTGCTAGTCGTTGCAAGTTAATTAGTCAAATAAAATTAAGTGTATATTCTTTTCATGCATTCTCCTTCAGTTTGCCATTTGGAAATCTGCATATGCTTTCCGCAAACACTTCCTAAGGGAGTAGCTTCCGAAGCCTGAATGATCCAATGTTAGTTACGGTGATATAGATAATGGTAGTAGCATTTCCCACAATTCATTAAGTAGACCTTAGAATGCTAATGACTTAACCTCAGCCTCCCAAAATACTTCTACCCTTCTGCCGAACTGCTCTCTCAATTAGGCATAGCTAGCGTCTGCATCCATAATGGGATTCGAGATCAAGTCGTGCACATCCGGCGACAGCTTTACCATACGCCATGCAGTCAACGACCGAGGGTGGATAGAGTCCTAATTCCGAATCTACTGTTCGTTTTGAAAGCCAAATTTCCCTTTATGTACTAATGTTTTATATTGAAATTGCAAGCAAATTCTCATATCATCAACACAAATGATGACAGATATGCAATTTAGGAGAGGCCCAGCTCGTCATGAAGATCCCAGTTACCCTTTTACCGTGTGGCGGAGTAGTAACCGTGTCACTTGATGCGTTTTATCCTGTTTCCAATTCCTTTGAAGTGCTTATGAGACCCCATCTAAGTCAAGATTACAGTATTTGATGAAAGAGAAAGCCTTTTGGCAAGCAGGTTTGTATGAAATTGAGTGACTTTGTGAGGCCTTTGTAAGCACCCTGTGACTAAAGTTGAGGCTTTAGCTCACCTTGACTCCACAGGCAACAACTAGCGGCGCCAGAATCAGGCTTGTCTTATCGCCGATGCCTCCGGTGCTGTGTTTGTCAACGACTCGATTTGCCCATGTTTCCTGATGCCAGTCGAGCGTCTTGCTGTGATTCGACATAATCCGGGTCAAATCGTACACCTCGTCAAGAGTCATGCCGCGAGTTTTAACCGCCATCACAAAAGCCCCTGTTGACAAAGAGGAAAAATTGTAAAGTTTAGCCTGCAAAAACGCGACTTTTAGAATGGAGTGATTTAGCTAGAACTAGCCATTAAACTAGATCATTTCATGTTCGCTGTACATTTTATGTGAAATTACATCCATTTTGCATATTCGTTGCAAGCAAAATAATGTACAAATAAAATGAGCATAGAATCTTAAAGTGCCCATTAAATAAATTTATCGAAAGTTGTGGTGCTTTTAAACGCCTTCGAGACCAAAAAGATTCAACTTACTCCAAGTATAGACGCGATTTAGAAGACGCCTGACTGGACTTAAATGTCACGTCTACGCTGTGGTTTACTGGCGCTCATGACTGTGTAACTAAGCCGTGACGTATCGCCCGACTCATTATCACAACCCATTGGGCAGCAGATGAGACGGAAAGGCGAGGTAGAAACTGAAGTTCAAACTGACAGAGAAAATCACTTTGGGGATGCACGGCAAAGCGATCTTTGATGGCGTCGCACTGTCTAATAACTTCATCGAGAAAAATTTCGATGGTACTTCTTAAATCGTCTTAGCCTAAAGTTCCTCATTTGTGTCCAATGGTCTAGCATCAGGTAGCCAAGACTTATGCAATAGAGATTATGAACATTTTCCTTGAATTTATTCTCTTTCTAAGCCTAAATCTTGCAGGAGCAGTGGCTTGATTAGTCACACACCGGCTTAATGCTAATTGAGCCTATTCTGTGAGAGTTTGGTTGATTTAACTTATTCGCTCAAGCAGTTTCATATCATCGTATAGGCTCATCTGTGAGCATTCACTTGATAAATCTGACCTCTCAAGGAGACCCACTCTCAGTGCATTTCAAGCATACTTGGAAACTCTGCCTCTTCTTCATACTCCGGCTCCGCATTTCTTTCTTTCGTTCCTGCGTTCTGAGCAGGGCTTTTTATGGCCAAGCGAATACGCAAAAAATCTCCTTCAATTCCAATATTCCTTATGCATTGAGGCATGTAAGGTGTGATTAAATGAAATTCGCCACGAGTGAAAGGGATTTCTTCGTCTCCTTGTTGCCTTGCGGCCCCAATGTCATTAATATTGTGACAATTGCCAAGCCTTCGACACAATCGAACAAGTCTTCCTTCTTTGGAGTCTACGCTAATTATAACTCGGCATTATCGGTATTTTTGAGTTAAATCATCAGTCTCGACAGATCCACCACATCACACTATTTTCTCCTTTACTTTCGGAATAAAAAAATTTCGTGTGGCTGCAATGGTTTGATTTCTTCTTTATTTAGTTTTACTAGCCCATATTTGGCAGCTTAAAAAATAATGGTCTTTTTGCACTAAATAAAGTGAAAATATCCTAATGGTTCCCGTAGATGCATTTGGGCACATCTAACTTCGTGTCCGATGGTATCCTTCCAAATTTTTGCCCACATACAGGTGACTGAGAATTATGGGGAAATGCAAGTTGGGGGCTATCTTATGAAATAAAAATTATATCAGCGCTCATTTGATCTCTTCCCTAAGTGACCAGATTGTTCATAATATTCACACTGATTGTAGCAGGGTTCTATATGGACTAAGAATGATTCAATTTAGGCTGAACTAATGAGTCATTCCATATTAAGACCTATCTGACTGTGCAGCCTAATATAAAGTTGCCATAGTAATGAACTACATACCAATTGAGACACTCATTGGAATATGTGTTCGAGGGTAACCACGTCAGCCCCCATAGAAAGCATTCAGCTTCGCTGAGTGACACGACAGTCACGACATTAAAACTAGAAAAGAACTTGTGAATTCCTGAGATATGAAGAGAAACTAGGTTTTAAAGTATCCCTTAGTTCATTTATACTGACATAACGTTCATTTCGTTTTGAGAATGTAGGTGGAAGGGATTCATAGATTGACCGCACCGTTTACCGCAGGAGAGTTTCCCTGAAGTTTCGTCTGTAAAACTGTGCGAATAAGACCTCGGCTTACCGTCCTACGACCCCGATGACTCAGTTCTGAGCTTTCGTCTGTCATTTTAGGCAAAGTGATTGTTTCATTAAGATCGCAAAGTGAGGTATACGAAGTAGGTAGGATCTCAGTTGACCACCTTTCTTGGTTTAGGCTTTTTGATGATTGTTTGTGAATAATGGTTTCTGGCTCTGACGATGTCTGTCAAATGATGGACGAAAGATCATCACGGAGTCATCGGGTTCATAGGACAGTGAGCCGAGGTTTTCTTCTCACGATTCAGAGGACAAAAGTCCAAGGAAACCCACCTTCGGTATCAAATGGGGCTAAGCTACGACTCCCTTCCATCCGTCCCAAACAAATTAAAGATGTGCCAGTATTTTATGAATTCATTTTCATTTTGTATGAAAAGTTTGGAGGTGAGGATTCGTAAATTGGCTTCACTGGAGTAAGATCTTCTCATAGTCGTGACTGCTGAGCTGATCGTAGAAGTTCTGGGCGTGGTATAGGAAGTCACGATGTGAGACCATTACATCATAAATTGCATGATGAAACCTAAGGAAGGGGGCCATGTTGCAATCTCATCTACTTTTAAAGAGCTGATCTTGAACATTTCGCTATGCATCAAATTATTTGTTTGGCCAATTCATGCAGATTCTCTTACTTGCCTGTAGGCGAGTGAAAATGGTGTGGACGTAGATGTGGGAGTGAAGATGGTCAAGCGTACACCTGCGAATTACCTCACGGATGACAAAGATAGATGAGTCATATTTTAAGTTGGCCTGAACTCATTTTCACAACGTGATAGGGCCTACGGGGATGCCTGATATAAAAAACCGAGCCATCTTCCTCATTCTAAAGCCATGGTAGACATAATGCCTTTCAGCATCGGAGAATTGACTTAGTAGACTTCCGTCAGTTTCGCCGGCATTGCATCCTGCATGGTTAGTGATCCATTGACAGACTTAGCATCAAGCTACAACTCATCGAAGAGACAAGTGATGATAATATTTTGGCCAATTTTCTGACCAATAGAAGGAGTTTAGACTCGGTTATGCCAATTTTACAGCAACCTAGGTGAAACCTAACTTGTCCAGTGTCTTATGACATAATATTCAGGATAATTTTCAGTGTCGGATCGCGGATTTGATACATTCCCAAACTTTTTATGATATGTATTCAACCTATTCAGTTTAAAGTGATGAAGAACTAGTAGTTGAATTTTTCCACAAGGTTGTAATTAGAACTGACGCTGCCAGTGAATTTCATATAGCCTTGATTTTCGAAGGGGGACCTTAGTTTCAATCTCGCCTAACTCTAAATAAACACCCCTAGCGGTACTCAAACGATGAAAGTCGGCTTATAATCTCGACACGTTAAGCACTACACCATAATGCCACGGGTGTCCTTGGATCATAAAGCAGATATTAATTTCAACGAAGACTAGTCATTTTTACATATCACATTCTTTGGTGAGATGGTTGATGAAGCAAATGTACATTTGCTGTAGCAATTGACTACATTACTTCCTGTTCGTTTATAAGTTGGGTTTCGAGACTACCAGTAAATCAATCAAATGAGAGGTATATCCGAAGAAAAGTTGAGATTCGAGGAATCTCTTGTTTCTTAATTGTTGAGCTTATTTGCATTTGGAGGGAAAGTCATTTGGGAAGAGAGTCAAAGAAAGATCCCACGAGAATACGTCAGCGAATTCGCCTTGAACAGCCGTAAATTGGCTTTACTAGATCATAGAGTTGACGCTATTCCCGGTGGAAGCGTCATAAGCTTTCGGCCGTCGTATAACGAACCTCGCAAGAGCAGAGTATCACCCTGAAACCAATTTTAAGCTAATTACTCAAGAAAATTTGAGAAAGTAGAAAAAGAATACACTTCCTTAAAGGGACGCAGGGCACGTTCGGCTTATGGCCTTCCAAAATTGGGCAAGGAAGGAGTTCCTTTAAGTTTGATTGTTAATAATAAGGCAACTGTGATGTATAGGATTTCATGTTTCTTATGTGGACAATTTAGGAAGGTGGCTGATTATTGGGATAATTTAGTGAAGAACTAATATAAATTTGCAAGATTAATAGGTTAAAAGAATAATAAATAGGAAGATATTTTGGTTAGCTTTGATGTGGTATAAATGTATGCTAACATCCCAGCTCATAAAGCTATTGAAGCACTAACATTGGCCTAGATAAGCACCCAGAAATTGTTGAGGAAGCAAATCTGAGCAAAAGATCATTCTTAAGGCTTCTTATACTATCCATGAGAAGCACATACGTTACCTTCACTGATTAAGTTTATAAACAGGTGCAAGGCTTAGCAATGGAATTCTGCTTGGCTCCGATTATAGCTAATAATTGCATGTCAAGCATGGAGGAACACTTCATGGAAGAGGTAAGATTGTCACCCAAACTGTTAGTTAGAAATATGGATGACTACTTTGCCATATGGCAGCATGGCAAGGATAGCTTAGATAATGTTTTT